GTTCTGATACATCCTTCGTAATATCGATGTAAAGGACGCCCCGACCCTAGCTCAAACCCATATCGGAGCGGCCGTCTTCGGCGAATGCATTGATCATTTTGACCAGCCCTACCAGCACCGGGTATATCGACAATGAATTCAAACCCAACTGGGAAAAATGTGACTTCGAAAACTGAACCGAGGTGCGGATAGGACAGCGCTTGAGACACCAATACAACTTTGTCATAAACAACTATCAACCTTGTCCTTCCTGAACACTTGGACTGGTTTTCCTTATTTTCGTCAAAGCTTACGAATGTTGGTTAAGCCCTGTGATATCACATTCTTCATCTTCGAATTGATGTGCACTAACTTAGCAAGCCATTCGCTCTGAGATTCGTGAATAATTTTGTCTATGCGTGTCGTTCTCTCATCCGAGGAAGTGACTTCGGAGCACAGATGGTTGTCTAGGCTTTTCTTGGTTTGTTTCGCAGTAATCATTTTTACGCTGTTATGGGAGAGAAAAACCAAAAGGTAATGGATGATGTGTAAGAAAAGTTGTCTAGCAGGATGAACACCTTCAATGCGTGAGGCCAGTCCTAGCCTCTACAGAATGCATTTGCTGTTCGTGTCGTGAGAAATTGTCCTTTCCATAAATTAGTATGTTTTTATCATAATCCGTGCTCGGATGCGCATCAGTGAGCTCACAGGCCGTCAGCATTGCACTTGTTGCATTTTAAGACCTTCAATGTCTGTATTATATAATGGTGTTCGTATTCTTTGACGAACCACCAGCGTCTTCGCTCGTTAATATAGAAGAATTGGTATTACTGACCGTCAATAGTGCCAGCGCCAAGTGTGTTTCAACTATCATTTTGTCGCGGTGTGGTGGATACAGCTTCCACGTAATGGAATAATTGAGACGAAGTCGAATTAGCTGGTGATGTTGTATCGCCAACCGGTGTGTTTAATCGTGTCTGCATGAATAACCTTTGCTGTCACAGTTTTGTCATCACTCCAAGCTAGCTGTTGCCCGGCTGTCTATAAAAAAATATCCTAGCTGGACGATTCAAACGACATTGATTTTGCCCTTGAAATCCTTTAGTGCTAGTAGCTGAATGCTTGTGGACATTCCTTGAAGCATTTACCGCCCAGGCGAGCGTGCACCGCAGCTGCCTTGGCGAACGACAGGTAAGAGGAAGACTTGCAGTGCTTGGAAAGAGTTAAAATCAATAATGAATTGATGTTGAGTAAGTGTTGTTGTGTAGGGGAAAGCAGTAAAAAAAAAAAACGGAGACCTAGATGGGCTGCACTTCCTCCCGTTAAGGGCGGGTGCACTCGTGCACGAGCAATTCCAAGAAGTCCTCAGATCTTCTTTCCAGAATTCTCTCACCATGTCATTGCCGCTCACAACCAACACCGGCACCTAACTGCCGTACTCACCATCTTTGCCTGTGTCGGTTGCTGCATGTGTAGCGACTCCGGCCGCAGCCGCTGTCTGTAGTATCATACTGAATTGTTTTTGCCCTGCTGTCAACACTGGATACTGAAATGATATGGAAGGTCTTTCTCTTGACCTAGTTCGAATAGCAGGCGGCAATATATTCCATTTTCACTCACCACCGGTAACAAGGCATGTTGGGTCGGTCCACGTCTTGTGTTTTGAGAGTTGTGCTACTTGACGGAGAAATGAGCTGAATTTTTCCGGTGGAGCGATGGTAATCCAATGGGTGCCTTCCAAAATATCCATTAAGGGAAAAACCAGTTGAGGGCCGCCGACAGGTCGATCATTTTACAGGCCCATAGGATCAAAACGGCTAGCGCAAAATCAAAAGGCTTTGCAGGTCCGGAAAGCTGACTGTCCCTGCTATTGTTTTGATATTTTTTTCATCTCTCAACCAGTAAGAATGAGAAATTAATCTGGTGCTAAAATTGATGCCTCAAATTCAGTCTCGATCAGTTAAGGGCCGCGTTTAATCTTGATTTTAGTAGCAAAATGACAGCTGGTGGCGAGGTTTGTGAGTCTGACCAACAGCGATTAGGTTTCCCATGAAACTCCATAATCTTCGACCTCCACGAATTAGCATAGTGTATTTATTCATACAGGTACCACCGTTGAGATACATCATAATATGAAGGGGGGAGACGGCGGCGGCGATAGTTGGCGAAGCATTGTGGACACTGATATCTTCTTGAGAACCGTTTTCGCAAATGAGTGGGCTCGCTTTAGGAACCGTTTGGATTTTCAAAACGGTTTTTGGCCGTTTTCTCAAAACTTCGTGTAGGTGTGAAAAAAGATGGACCAACTTTGAACGCGATTATCTAGATAACTCTAAATGGCACATTAGTATCCTTTGTATTGGGTGGTCTCATATATGATTCCATCACAATCCAACAAAATTATATGTCGAAAAACCCACTTCTTGCTGTTCTCTCACGATAAAGAATACATAATTATACATTTATGTCAATATGTTAAAATAATTGTACATACCGCATTTACCTGCATATGCTAATATACTCTCTCCACTGTAAAACATGAGCAATGGTTTGTGAAAATATTTCACGTAAATATCCATTTCCCTATATACCGAAATACAAAACCGCCAAGCTCAGGATAACATACCAGTTTGACTTTTGTGCAATCTATCACTGTTCGTATACTAAAGATGTACAAACAGCATTGCATATATCAAGTAAAAAGAGTGTGACGCTCGTTTTTCTTCTCATCGGCACAGTTCTTCATGCCTACCACGTCTCAAAGCAAATAAAAAACTTCTTCTTCTGGTCTCGCTTTCCTTAGCAAATTGAATACGTCGTCCATGAACCAAACCTCTCCTTTCTCGGCCTTGTATTATATCACGTACTGAAACCACTGAATGATTTTAGGGTTGTTATCCAACTTTCCGCCGGCCCTTACAATGGGTAAACGTTGGAAAATCAAATGAGGATCTAGCTCCAGCTTTAGCGCTAACTTGAAAGCTAGGTCGCCAAGTCTAGACGGCCCACGGAGCCCAGCTCTCTTTTCCTTAAACTTGTCTTCACGATCGGCCGAGCCCGTAGCAAGTTCAGCATCAGTCCCCTAAGCAAAATTTGATGTGTCGCCGTTTCTAGACCTGGAGAAACGATCGATGCTGGTGTTGCCCGTGTCCTTCCACCCTTCCACGTTCATACTGCGCGAACAATAGGAAGTGCTCCCAGCAAGGAACATGATGAAGACGATGTGCGAACGCATGTCTACCATCTCTTGAACCTGAGGAATCCGCGATGCGCTAATGAGTTGGTGCAGCGACCACAAGCCTTCTGGCAAATTCAAAAGTGGACGTCCCGCCAACTGCAAAAATGTAAACAAAGATGGCGGTGATGTTATTATATCGTTGAATTGGTGTTTTGGACCTCTAGTACCTGTGAGTATAGTGGATAAGTCTGCTATAGTTATACTGGGAATACCTTTATTATAGGTATGGACAGCTTTCAAGGGATTAATTCCATGGTACTGGTTCGATGTTATCACATTCAGCTGACCTCAAAATGTAAGCTGAACGTTGAGCAAAAGTAGCATGCTTAAAACAGATTTTGGAGTCTCATTGTCTGTATCTGATAGTGTAAGGCTACCGGGTTTTGGTCGTGAACTCGCGCAGGATTGCTAGCCACGCCTTTTTCTTTGTGGGCGTGTCGATGCCTAAGCTGCTTGAGCTCGCGAGGGCTTAACCTCTGCCGTGCATCCGTCGGGGAACCAAAGGAGAAGAGTGCCTACTCTGTCGCTTCTAAAGGTTCGTTCATACAATCGGTAACATCACCCAATTAAAACAGTATAAACTAGCCCGGAAGGCAGCCGAAACGCAGATTATCATATCTCCAAGAGGAAGTACCTTGAGAAAAACTAAAATATAGATTATTTGCGGAATCCGCTCATCATTGCATTTTTTTCTGTCGGTGTGACCCGTATCGCACCGCGAGCCGTTGAAGCCTGCGAAGCAAGCATTGACACTCAAAAACCAAAACAAGGTTACATTTTATTAACGCATGGACTACTTGCACTAGCCGCAGGGTCACCACACTAGCAAACTGGTTGGAAGCGGCAAGTTCAGATTACAAATCTTTCTATCTAGAACCCAACATCTCTAAAACTACGCGATTTGACCTACTTCGCTGCTGCATTTTGCGGCGGATTCGGCCCGTGAACAACCTACCAGATCTTGCTAAAATGTACAGCAGTAAATAGTTATGAATGTATTAAAAAATATCTGGAACATGTCAATGTCATTTTACACCCAATCAAATGGGCTTATAATGCTTCTTGTAACCTGGTGCATTCTATGGCCCCTCGAATGACTTGTGCTGCATGTCAAAAAAAAATGCTGGACTGTCGGTCTTCAAGGACTGTAGCTATATGGAGCCGTTTTACCTCTTATATATACTACTAGTAGCATATATCCCATAGTACCAGAACAAGTTGCTGTCCATTGGTCCGCTAGTATCTTGGTGGAGGCTGCAGAATAAGGGTTCTACTAACAGATACTTATGTTGTACTAGCACATTCAACTACTCGCGTGACTGAATTTTTGATATCTATTTCTAATATTTTTTGTTACGTGACAAGAAGTGTATTCCCAGCTACGTCGAAGACGATCTAGTTTAAGATTCTGGTTGTTACGCTGGACTAGGGAAACATTTAGTTGCTTGAATACAGGCCATTCTGCCCGTAACAGATCTCAAATTTTGATCACGAACATGGTAGTACATTTTTTTTTTGATCACGAACATGGTAGTTTTTTTATCACGAACAAGTCGCAATCGACGTGTTCGTGATCGTATTGTGTGCTTTTATGATTAATAATCTGTGATTAAATAATCTTCATTGGAAAAGAAATGATGACGGTCAATTTCATATGCTTCAGATGGCGCTTTCTACCCCCAAAGTCTCCACCACAACTGCACCTCCAAAGACAGTTTAAATATCACAACCAATTTTGCAGTCCGCAACACATTCACTCCAAGTAGCACCGCTCAACATACACATGACGCGCATCGTGATCGTTGGAGGTGGTCCAGCTGGAATCAACACCGCTCAGGCCTTGGCGAAGAATCTCACTGACGCTGACAAGACTGAAGTGGTGGTGCTAGAGAAGAACGCCTACTTCTATCACGTTATTGGTGCCCCACGAGCATATGTCGACGCAAACTTCACTAACAAGATGTTCGTTCCGTACGACAACGCAATTCCCAAGAACGCCGCCAAGTTTGTTCGGATCGTGCGCGGTATCGCCACGCAGATCTCCGCCAACTCGAATGAGGTTCTATACAGAGCGATCGACAGGTACGACAAGGAAAGTAATACAACGGCAGCGCTGCACTTCGACTACTTAGTACTGGCAATGGGAAGCACGTACACCGTGCCAATCAAGCAAGACATCCACGACTACGCTCGATCCGCAACGGAATCCAAGCTGCAGCTAGTGCGCAGCAACATCGAGACTGCAAACAAAATTTTGGTCGTGGGTGGAGGTGCCGTTGGCTGTGAGATTGCGGCCGAGATCAAGGCAAAGCACCCCAACAAGTCGGTGACGATCCTTGACGCCAACACGAAGCTGATCTCCGGCAGCAACCTCCGCGAAAAATTCTACGTGAAGTTGAACGCTTCTCTCGCTGAACTAGGCGTGGAGGTAATTTTGGGTGAACGTTTGACGGAGAGGCTGACCGGCAATGGGTTCGAGAGACGCACGCTCAGAACAAACAAAGGCACAGCGATTGAATCGGACCTCCAGCTGCTGTGTGGTGGCTTCCACCCCGTCGCGGAACTTGTGCAAGACATGGATCCGCACCTGGTGACGGGGCGAGGGGCTGTCAAGGTGAACGAGCAATTGCAATTAGAAGGTGTGAGGTACTCGAACATGTTCGCTCTGGGTGATGTGTGCAACCATCCGTCACCGAAGATGGCGTTCATTGCTGGCGAACAAGGCAAGTTCCTGGCGGGTGAACTGATTGCGGTGATTCGTAAGAAAAAGCCGAGTTTCAACAAGCCGTTCCCTGGAGCAGCAACGGAGGTCATGGTGTTACCGCTTGGTCCGAACGGAGGGGTGACTCAGCTACCCATGTTCGGAGGAGTTGTTATGGGCAACTGGGTCACGAAAATGATCAAATCCAAGGACTACTTCGCCGGTCAAACCTGGTCCAGCCTCGGTGCCAGCGTCCCTAAGTAGTTTAAGGGATAAAAAGTAATCCCGTGTTCAGACATACAATAGCACTTTGTTTCTAATTGTGATTTTTGAGATGACAAAACTAAAAAAGAAAACTCATTGTGTATCAGCGCTGATTCTTACCTAATCGCACTTTAATACGACCAAGGGGTTCTGCTGGTACAATCCGAAGGCCAAAAACTGCAAAGCGCCAATTTTTAATGAATGAGCAACGGGGTGGGAGCGAGATGCTCTATGGGAATGTGAGGACCAATGTCCTCGCAAGCTCGACTAACCTGCACGCCATATCCACAACAGCCAATAAAGGTTTTCTTTTTGGAATTCAAATTTGTGAATTTCTAAAGTTGCTGAAAGTTGTGCTGGAGCAGCAAAACTCAATATAAATTATTTTAATAAATTACATTGTTTTGAAAAAAACAATTTAATATATTATATTATTATGTTAAATTTATTATATTACTTTGCAATCTGCGTTTTAATATATATTACAGTTTTGTTACACCTCTCAGAAAATTTAGAAATTGACAGACTTGAATGACACAAAAAACGAAAATTCTGATTTCGCAAGAGCGGATGACACCCCCCGTGCACCTCAAGATCGTGACTCTCGTTGTCGCTAAGCTCTCCAGCCATACAATTGCTATCGACAACGTCGTCGCCACAATCTCCGACCTCTTGATTGCTGACCTTCCTCTCTCCAAAACGGTCGAGTTGAGCCCAGCAGATTCGTTGGCGCTGCTGGACTTGGTGTGGACGAGGAGCGTCGAGTCCATTCCGAGCTGCCGATGGAGTAACGCCAGGCTTTTGAGGACTAAAGAATATTACTACAAATGGGAGTTTTCTGCTTCACTGGTGCAAGCAATTCGCCGAACGGATTTGAAAAAGGTTCACTGGCTGCTGGACCATTTTTCTGATTGTCCTGTCGATGGGGATGCTGTGGAGGAAGCCGCAAAGCTCGGATATTTGTGGGTGTTACAGTTGTTGAAAGGTGATAATTCACATTCTGGTATCGAATGGAGTCCAAAGAGTTTGGACTTGGCAGCTGCAGGAGGACATTGGGATGTGGTCCGGTGGCTTCACAAGAGAATCGGTACTCCAGATACTAGAAGAGTGCAATACGGTAACGGGACTCACGTCGCCGACTACGCCTTTCAAGAAAACAATTTGAAAGAGCTGCAGTGGGCTCTTGCTCAAGGATTTACAGTTTCCACGACACTCGGACGTACGTGTGGTATCTCAGGCCCAGGATATCCGTGGGGAACAGTACGCTTCTTGATTGAGCGTGAAGACGATAATAAAGACCTGGTTGAAATGGCTATGATACGAGCAGCACAGATTGGAGACAAAGAATTCTTAGAGTGGCTAGTGCCACACCACGACCCGTGTAAGGTAGAACAAGTGTTAGTTGCTGCTGGCAAATCTGGAAATATTGCAGCGCTCCAGTATTTGCTCAGGCAATATGCAGATTTTGGAATGCCCCATGATCCTTTCAAGACTGTGTACGCATCTGCCAAAGAGGGAAAGCTGGATGCGGTTAATTGGTTACTCGAGCGCTATTCTAGTGACCCGAACGTTGATATTTTTCGGGTTAGTCGTCGTTATGTCAACCGAAAGGGAGGGCGAGTGAGAGCAGCGACTGTCATGGATATTGCAGCCAGCCACGGTCACCTTGAAGTACTCAAATTATTGCATCATGCTGACAGAGTGCAACGCAAAAAGCGAAAACGACATGAACGTAGTACATCCTCGAACCTTGAAACCTGCAGAGGTTGTACGACAAATGCAATGGATTTAGCAGCATCACACGGGCACTTGGAGGTTGTCAAGTGGCTACACGCTCAAAGGACGGAGGGGTGTACTGTGTTTGCGATGAACAACGCTGCTGCAAACGGACACTTACAAGTGGTCCAATGGCTACATGAGAACCGTACAGAAGGCTGCACGACTGATGCGATTGATGAGGCTGCAACTCGCTATTGTAAAATATCAAGATGCTGCCAAATCTCGTCGAACTGTGGTATTCGTCGCAAACCTCGCGAATGCTACGAGTCAAACTCTTTCGTGACAAACCAGATTCACATTGTCCAGTGGCTATTTACTAACCGAGCGGAAGGCTGCACGGACAAAGCTATGGACGGTGCAGCTGCGAATGGCAACTTCGAGTTGGTCAAGTGGCTTCACGAGAACATGAATGCAAAGTGTACACATCAAGTAATGGATGAAGCCGCTAGATGGGGCCGATTGGATATTTTGAAGTGGCTGCAGGAGAATCGTACAGAGGGATGCTCTTCTGCTGCTATGAGTTACGCAGCTAAAGGTGGTTATCTGGAGATACTCCAATGGCTTTATGCGAATTGCTCCATATCCTGTACGGACCAAACGTTGGACGAAGCGTCGAAGCGAGGTCACTTCAAAGTAGTTCGATGGATAATTGAACACGGAGAAAACCTGAATATGTCACTCGCCATGGAGTCGGCATTTCGTCACAATCATCTTGAACTGGCCTGCTATCTTTACGATAGACTTCCTGTGACTAGTATACGCTACGGGAGGAACATCGATCATATTCGAGATGTTGCAAGGAGTAACTTGTATTTGATTTAGCCCAACAGTTCAACGTAATGCACTTGTGAGCTCTATTGGTAGCATCGATCGAGATAATTACCAACCTGTACTGAAGTAAATTACCAGGATACCCATTGAGCGAGGCGGTGTTCTTTGCCAGGAACTTGTCGTCTAGCCAGAGCCTTAATGGCTTCGCTGTACAGACACGTGATGGTACCAGCGCCACAGCCAATCAACCACGGCACATAGTCCACGGTTGCAGTTCCGAAGAACGATTGGATGCCAGGAACATACACGACCAGCACAACGATCAGAATCTCGATCGCTCCACCATACACGGTAACTATGTTCTTGAAGATCCCGGCGTTGATCACCGAAGTGCGTCGGGTCTTGACCATCCAGATGTGGAAGAACTGGCACGTAACTAGAGCAATGTACCACGACGCACAGGCTTCTGCCAGTATACGCATCTGATCGTTAGCGTCGAAACACTTGATGTCTGTGACACACAGTGGTTCGGCGTTCTTGATCCAATAGTCCTCTGCGCTCATGAACAAGTCCGAGAACGAGACATCGTAACGCCAGAACACCGCAGCGTAAGCGAGCAGACAGCCACCAGCATTGATCATTCCCGCGACGATATACGAGTAGACCAGAAGAGACTTGGAGATCAGCTTGTCCTTCTTGATGTTACGAGGCGGACGCTGCATGATGTCGTGCTCCCCTCCTTCATGAGCGATAGAAACTGCAGGCCCGAGCTCGGTTCCAAGATCAATACTCAAAATCTGAAGCGCTGTCATTCCTGTAGGCATTCCGAGCGCCAGGTAGATAGCTAGTGGCAGAATCTCAGGCCACAAGTGCGTCAACGTGTACGCGATCGTCTTCTTGACGTTATCGAAGATGATACGTCCTTGTTCGACGCCGCGTACGATCGATGAGAAGTTGTCGTCCATCAGGATGATATCTGCGGCTTGACGGGCGACGTCACTGCCGTTCTTTCCCATCGCAACACCCACATCCGCCTGCTTCAAAGCAGGCGCGTCATTAACTCCATCACCAGTCACACCAACACATTCTCCAATCTCTTGGCTGGCCTTAACTATCTGGAGCTTGTGTTGAGGCGTGGTCCGAGCAAACACAACCGAATGTAAGCGTAGAATGGCCTTCAAGTCTTCGCTTGCCAGTAAATTGACGAAGCCGCCGTGGACGACTGCACCGGTGTACGTATCGAAGTCGTCCGGTAACTTTACAGATTTCTTAGTAGTGGGAGGTTCCAGCAAGTCGAGGATACGCCCGTCATCGTTTAGAAGTCCAATTTCCGCAGCTATGGCCCGTCCAGTCAACGGATGGTCACCAGTAACCATGAACACCTTGATCCCAGCAGCCTTACACTTTGCAATAGCATCAGGAACATCGTCACGTGGAGGGTCCATAATTGCGGTGATTCCCACAAAACACAGGTTCTCCGAGGGAAAATTTCCCTCTTCAGCCGTGAAGTGCCTGTTAGAAGCCTCAAAGCGCCGCGTTGCCAGTGCAATTACACGTCGTCCTTTTCTTCCAAACGTCTCGTATGCATGGGAAAATTCACTTATCAGTGATTCATCCAGAGGAATCTCTTCTCCGGTAGCAGACATGAACGTGCTGCATCGCTTGATGATCACTTCGGGAGCACCTTTCATGAAAACATCGAAGCTACGTTGAGTGGTTTTCTCACCTGGTGCCGGTACAATAACAAGCTGCCACTTGTTGGTCGAGTTGAAAGGGATCTCGAAGATCAGTGGATACTCGTCACGCGTAATATCCGCCGAGAAGTTGAGATCCGCAAAGCGAAGCAACGCGATATCCGATGGGTTACCGGTGTACTGTCTGGTTGTAGTTAACGTTCGTTGTCTCCGCACCATCGAGGGACTCCGAATCTTCGGACTGCGTACGGGTGACTCACTTTTCATCTCACCTCCAGAACCCACGGACTCATCAATGGTAATTTGAATACTCGAAGGGTGAGTTACGTCTGGAGCTGCACGGTTGCACAGCGCTGCACCACGAGTTAGAAGAGCTTTGGGCGTCATGCCAGTCAGAAAATCCGTCGTGTTATCCGGCACGATATCTGTGCATTGCTCGGATGGTTGAGCAATAAATTCGCGCCCAGTCCAGACATCGGTGACGGTCATGACGTTTTTGGTTAGCGTTCCCGTCTTGTCGGTAGCGATCAGTGAAATGGAGCCCAGTGTCTCGACGCAGTCCAACCGCTTCACAAACACATTCTTTGCTGCCAACCGCCCTGCAGTAATTGTCAACAAAGAGGTGACTGTGACGTGAAGACCCTGAGGTACATTGGCCACGAGAATCACCAGAAAACCATCAACGAATGTGATCAAAACATCCTTTCCGTTCTTGTGAACGACACCGAGGATGAATAGAATGCTGGCCATGACGAAGGCTAGTATCGCAATAAACCGAACAAAAGCCTTAACTTCACGCTGCATGTTGGTCTCAGGAAGAGCTGCCGACGTTGATAGCTTGGCGATTTGGCCGAGAACGGTCTTGTCTCCAATCGTCAACACCAAACCCAACGCAGCTCCATCGAAGCATAGCGAGCCATTGAATGCTATGTTCTTGCACTCCAGGTGGGCTACCGAGTGATCCTGAACATCCGATGTAAGGGTAATCAGCTCCGATTCACCCGTTAGAGAAGAGTTCTCCACCTTGAGGTTGTTGCATTGAAGAATTCGCAGATCTGCTGGAACCTTGTCACCGTTTCGAACCCACACTAGATCACCAACCACCAACTCTTCAGCTGGGATAGTTTGGCTGATACCGTCGCGAACGACGGTACTCTGAGCTGGGAGCATGTTCTTGAATGAATCCATTGTCTTTCCAGTCGACCGTTCTTGAAGAAATGTAGCTGTGCAAGTACCAAGTACAACCGCGAACAGGAGGATGGCCAAGTAGAGGTTCATCTCTGTCGACGTGTTGATGAAGTAGGCGATTAAACTGAGAATTGCAGCCGTCGATAGGAGTAACATGAACATGTTGAGGAACTGCTGCAGGAACAGAATGTAATCCGGCACAGTCTTAGGTGGCGACAGACGGTTGTACCCACAAACTTTACGAGCCTCTCCAACATCGTTCAGCTCGAGACCTTGGCTTTGCTCGAGATTTGCAGCTGAAATACGACTTTTAGGCTCGCGTACCGACAACTCGTCGACCTTAATGTAGGCTTGCCAATAGTGCTCACCCTCACTTCGGATGATATCAAGCGCGACCGAGCTACGAGAGCCTCGAGAAGCTCGACGTGCGACCCCAAGCTTCACTTGTAGCGGGTCCGCAGACGATGGCTGTGGAATCATGATGGGCCTTTCCGCAACTACCTCTGCCAAGCGATTGATAGAATTCCGCTACAGCTGTGGTGGTTTAGAAAGTGAGCGGAAAATACCTTGGGACGAAACTCACCATCCTTCTTAAAAGCTCCTAAAGTGGCCAAGGACTAAAATATCTACAGCAGCGGCGGTTTTGTAGATCAATACCTTCCTCAGCTGATGGTTACCCAACTGGGAGTTCTCACTCCAATTCATGAAGGTGCGATGTGCGATTCCATGTAATTTTAGTACGGATCACGAGAACACACTTGAGGTAATGGGAGAACGGCGTCCAAAATGACTCCACGATACTATACGATCTTTCGTCGAGTATTTTTTTTTTTTTTTTTGCATCTTGAAGAGCAAAGTCGTACATGTATGTAGTGAGTGCTATCCGATAGGGCATTTTATTAACAATTCGCGGGTCTTCGACTTTTCGAGAGCAATGTTTGACGGAAAGCATAACTATTACTGAAAGATTTTTTTTCTCATAAACAGAAGCTTAATAGTGTTTTTTTTTTCATGCGGTTGGAAATTACTAGCACTGTTCACACCGCTGCTAGCTAACATAGAGGGGGATCTAATGTAATACATTTTTTCAGTATTAATGAGATGCAAGAACCTTGTCGAAATGCTGACTAGTGATGATTGCCTCGGTCTAGTCACGAACCACAGAGAAATGTGTGAGTAATACTACATGTAGTAGCCCGGGTACCCGGGTGTCCTAACCCCTAGGAATAGGTATGCATTGTTCAAAGTGGAATCAACTGGTTTATTGTCCTCAAGTGGTAATCAATCAGGTAGAAAATGCCGTTAAATTCAACCCCACAAATATTAAGAACGGCCGTGCTTTAAATGCTTCCGATGTTCTCTCCAAATACCTCATGCAACTTGCTGATAGCCTCGGCACAAATGCAATTAGCGAGCACAGATTCTATTCAACGACAAATGTTACAGGGCTCAACCATCATCGTGCAATTCGAAAATTATTCTCCTTCTGCCGATGGCGAGTACTTCTCGTCAAACCAATTGCGAATATCCTGATATCGAAACCAATGATTCCTGAGATCGCCGTCGGTGTAATGATTAACCAGCTGAGCGTCGAGAAGCAGCATCGCTTCAAAACTGTGAGAGGACAGTGCCGCTTTCATTGCAGATAATAAAGACGAGGGTTTGTGCAATGGGGTAATAACCATTTTACCAAACGCGTATGGCCTCCAGCAGCTGCCTCTTTCATTGATTCTGCAACAGTTTGATGTCCAGGTGTATGCTGCTCGTATATCCATTTGACAACGTTGAAATGCCCTACACTTGCAGCTTCCGACATTGCTTTCAGAGTGTGAACATTGGGGTAGTGTTGGTCCAGCCACTTGACAATATCCAGGCGTCCCAGCCGCGCAGCCGATACTATCGATTCGGTGGTACAACCCGCCGTACAATTCTCAAGTAGCCACTGCAGCATTTCAAAGTTGCCATTAGCTGCTGCTCCATCCATCGCTGCACTACTGCTGCCTTCAGATCGATTTAGATGCAACCATTTCAACATTTCGAGCTGATTCTCGAAAAATGATTTAGGAGTAATGTGCAAACAACAAACGTCAAAGCCAAAGCCATCGCATGACGATACATGGAAGCGTCTTGTCGCTGCGATATCCATCGCAGCAGTTGTGCAGCCTTCTGAACGATGCACATGAAGCCACTGCACCACTTCGAAATGTCCATTTCCAGCAGCCCGATCCATCGCAAGTGTCGTACATCCTTCCAGACGGTGCGAGTGAAGCCATTTTACGACATGTAAATGTCCACAAGCAGCTGCAGCATCCATCGCGAACGATGTACAGCGAGGGTAGCGACCTACCTGTCTATTATGCGAAAGTTTTCCACCCCGTTTCTTCTGTTTATTCCGCGATGAGGTATCTATACTGTCGAGGAACTGCAGCACAGCGAGGTGTCCGTTTTTGGCCGCAGCATCCATGGCAGTAGTTGGTACTAGATCTTCGTCCCAAAAATGTTCTTCGTCATTGCCAGTATCGTCAGGAACGTCACGTTCTTGAAAAAGACCCACTTTCGGTTTGCTGCCATAGTGTTTATACAGCCAGTGTACCACGTCCAGCTTCCCGTTCTCGGCTGCTGCAAACATGGCATCGGCCGGACCGTTAGCGCGGACAACACCGTCAGCATGCGTCAGTATCCACTGCACCACAGCGAGATACCCACTCTCACTCGCATTTTCTAGCGCATGCGTCCAGTATTGAACGTCAATTTCAGCTTTCAATTGATACTCAAGCCATTTAAGAAAATACAGATCACCAAATCGAGCTGCTTGATAAGCGCCAACGCCAGCAATATTTGCTACGGGAACGTGACCCCCGTCTAGCAGATACCGCAATATTTCTGCCCGACCTTGCCACTCAGCTTCCGTGCAATCTGGGAACTTAATGCCTCCTACTCCAAATCCACAGCCAATTGCCCACTTGACCTGTATCAAGTTATTTTGCTCAAACGCACCGTTCACCACCTCGTCATCCGCTCTCCTGGTCTCCCTGGTACTTCCAGTCCGTTGAAGCAGCCATCTTACGAGCTCCCAATCGCCAATCTTCGCTGCCCTATCTACAGCTCTGTCGCTCCACTCAATTCCTGCGTGACTTGTGTCTCTCTCGAGCAATTGCAGAGCCCACAGATGCCCACCCCGGGCAGCTTCCTCCACCACCTCTTGAGACACAGGGCAGCCTGAAAAGTGAGATAATAGCCACTGTAACATGGTCAAATCACCACGACGAACAGTCTGGACTAGTGACTGAGAGAAAGCCCACCGGTAGTAAGAGCGCTCGCTCTGCAAAAGCTTCGCAAAGGTCCACTTGGAGGTTTGGGCATCTCGCAGACTGCGCATCCAGACCAAATCCAGCAAAAATGTCGACCCCAGAGGAGACCACTCGCACGCCTGTGATAGTGTCAGATCAGCGACGAGGAAGTCTGAGATTATGACGGTGACGATGTCGGGAGCCCTCGGTAGGATGAGGCTCACGGTCGTGATCGGCATTTTCGGAATCAGATTATTAAAACTAGTGTTGTGTGGTCAACACCTAATTTTCATTCTTTAATCTGATATCCCCACAGCTTCGGTATTCTGATCATTTCACTTCTTTTAATTAAGAATGATATTAATACCTGGGATAATTGATAGACGACACTTCATTAAGTTTTGCGTGCGCTCGTGAATTAATACAAGTAGCGCAAAACACCGCGATGGTAAGGTAAGGTAAATGGCAATGCGAGTTGCCTTGATTCGGTGTATATCTATGCCAACCAAGCTTCATTAATAGCACCTCACGACCGCACTTCTTGTCAGCCAGGCCAAAGGCGGCCGCATCCCCCTCCGTAGATTCATCCTAGCGTGCAGCGCCGTACGAAAGACTAATAGTGGCACCAAGACATCGGGATAATGCCGTACGACACGCCGCATGAGAGATGGCGGTTGAGCTTTCGGTTGCACTGGCCCCTTTGTTTTCCAGCGGCGACACAATTCGATCCAGATGAAGCTCCCTACAGCTTCGGTGAGCTTTTGTCAAAAATACCGATAACAGACAAAGTCATCTCGGCTCTACCAGTCTAGGTCTAGCACCTCGCCCATCCTGCACAAAAGTTCAGTGCGAACCATGGAAAAGAGGTCATCCCTCCCGTGTGGAACACACATACATAAGCTTAATCTAATAGCCTGTCTATTTAGTTGTACTGAATATTATCAATTTTGCTGTCGTCACCTCTCTTAGGGTAGCACTTTGGTCAAGCGATACACTGCTAAAAAACATTAATGCTAAACGTAATATCGGCAGTCCTTCGGCTGCAGATAAATGTCGTGTTCAATACCATTGTCCATGCTGTGTCCTGGATGATTATTATTTGAGAAAGCATTCATGCTGCTTTTCATTGTAGTAGCCATGGGTATATTCGCGTTTGATCTCTCGGATTGAAATGGAATGCGGAAACTTGCTGAACAATCGGCGGCATCAGGAGGGGAAAACCACCCGCCTCCTACCGTTCCAACTGGGAGTTTCCGCGTACATCGCCGTACGAATGAACTCATACTTGAGCAGAGATATCGGGACAACGCCGTACGACGCGCCCACGACAGATCTGACACCAGCGTATTCCCAACCTCAACGCCACCCGCCGTCCACTCAGCCTCGCGCCACCTTCGAAAAGAGCACCCGCGTCGCCATTTTGCCCTCTGGCCATGAAGCTCATTTCTCAATTCGCTTCGGCCTTCGTAAGAACCACAACAGTCCTCAAGACCTACAACCCCCCCCCCCCCCCCACAAACTTCTATTTTCCAATAGACTATGGCTCCAGAGTCCCCCATGGCTGATCCGCAGCACGCCGAGTTCAAGGCCATACCTCCGACACCAAAGGCAGGCAGTGATGCCGGTGGGGGCGAGGATGAACGCTACTGGGAGGCATACGTTGAAGTTGAAGACCTTCCGACACGTGCGCCTCGAAGCAGAATATCGCCTACCAACCTCGAACAGAGTCAAGGGCTCAGCTCTGCGGACGTCGAGGAGATTCGCAAGGTGTGCGGGTTTAACAGACTGTCCCCACCTAAGACAGTGCCCGACTACATCCTGTTCCTGCAGCAGTTTCTCGACATGTTCATGATCCTGCTGTCCGTCGCGGGGCTTTTGAGTCTCATCGCCTACTTCATCGACACCTCAACAACGCTGAACCTGTATCTGTCGCTGGTGCTCTTCGCAATTGTGATCGTCACGTGCACCATCACGTTCCTGCAGGCGCGTTCGACGAGCAAAGTGATGGATTCGTTCAAGAACATGCTCCCGCAGCAGTGCACGGTAGTGCGAGACGGCGTGAACCAGACGATCCCAGCTGAAGAGTTGGTGGTTGGTGACTTGGTTTGGGTACGCAACGGTGACAAAGTGCCAGCCGATCTGCGCATTCTACTATGTAACAATCTGAAGGTGGAGAACTCGTCTCTCACGGGTGAATCCGAGCTCATTACTATCACGTCGGATGCCCAGGAGGACTCGGTGGCTCACTTGGAATGCAAGAACGTTGTGTTCAACGGCTCGTTGTGCTTCGACGGGTCCGCGTTGGGTCTCGTGCTGAGAATCGGAGACAAGACAGTGATCGGTCGTATTGCTGAGCTAGCGACGTCAACCACCGCGCGTGAGACCAACATGCAGCGTGAAGTGAAGGCGTTCGTGCGTTTTATTAGTGTTCTAGCTGTGGGTATGGCTGGTATCCTGTTCACGATTGGAGTTGTTCGCAAAGGAGGCGACGACGTGATCTCCACCTTCGTCAACGGCTTCTTGGTGATCATCGTGGCCAACGTACCTCAAGGTCTTCCTGCCACGGTGACGTCGTTGTTGACGATCACAGCGAGTCGAATGGCAGCACGCAACGTGTTCGTCAAGCGACTGGATTGTGTGGAGACAATGGGGTCCATCTCGCTGATCGCGACGGATAAGACCGGCACGCTGACCAAGAACGTGATGACGGTGACGGATACCTGGGCTGGCGGGGAGCTCGCGGCTCAATCTACTGGAGATCGAGTGGTGATCCAACTGGACGATAAAACGGATTACTTGGCAGGAATGACTCCTAAGGCGGTCTTGGTTCGTGGAGCTTCACTTTGCAACCGTGCAGCACCAGACGCCACGGCACCTGATAACAACAAACCCACACCGGTAGACCCCAAGGACGAGAAAATGATGAGTACAGCTGCACCGCCCAGTCAAAGAAGCTCGTTCAGCCTCTCTCGACTCAGTTTCCAAAGCCATACATCAGCACGTGAGCAAACCAAGGCCAAGCGTCAGTACACCGGCAATCCATCGGACATTGCGCTGCTACGCTTTGCGGATATGCATTACTCGTCCGATATCACCCGTGAGGAATACCCGTTGGTGTTTGAGATTCCATTCAACTCCACCAACAAGTGGCAGCTAGTGATCGTACCTGCTCCACGTGAGAAGGCCACACAACGCAGCTTCGACGTGTTCATGAAAGGCGCGCCTGAGGTGATCATCAAGCGATGCAGCACAATCCTGTCGGCCACGGGCGAAGAATTTCCCATCAATGATTCGTTGATGCGCGAATTTACCCAAATGTAGAGCTTTTCGGAAGCAAAGGACGTCGCGTTCTCGCTCTCGCCACACGAAGATTTGAGTCAGCAAGTGCAGATTTCTCCATCGAGGAAGGCAATTTCCCGTCTGACGATTTGTGCTTTGTGGGCATGCTGGCGATCATGGATCCTCCTCGCGACGATGTCCCGGATGCGATTGCGAAGTGCAAAGACGCTGGTATCAAGGTGTTCATGGTCACGGGTGATCACCCCTTGACGGCTCGAGCGATTGCCACAGAGATCGGACTACTGGATGACTACGGCAGCGTACTGGAGTTGTTGACACCCACTCCGGTTGATAACCTCCCTGTGGATTTGGATACGTACGATGGCGCAGTCGTACACGGCGGGGTGATCAATTATCTGTCTGACGAAGATCTGAAGACTATCCTACAATTGAAATCTGTCGTATTCGCTCGAACTACCCCTCAACACAAGCTCCAAATTGTTCAAGCCAGCCAGGAGATCGGCGAATGTGTCGGAGTTACAGGTGATGGTGTCAACGATGCTCCAGCTCTGAAACAGGCCGATGTTGGCGTTGCCATGGGGATGAACGGCAGTGACGTGGCTCGACAAGCTGCGGACATCATTCTGATGGACGATAACTTCTCCTCAATAGTGCGTGGTGTCGAGCAAGGCCGCGTGATCTTCGATAACCTGAAGAAGACGATCGCCTACACGTTGACGCATCTGTGGCCCGAGATCATGCCGGTGGCCATCAACTTGGCGCTCGGAATGCCTGCCGGTATGACGTCGTTGCAGATCTTGAGTATCGATCTTGGCACCGAGTTGGGCCCCGCCATCTCCATCGCGTACGAAGGTGCAGAACAAGACATTATGCAACGTCCTCCACGCGACCTAAACAAGGACCGTCTCATGTCTAAGTCGCTGCTGATCTACGCGTATGCTGTCGCTGGAATGATCAACGCGGCTGGTTGTTTAGTTGCTTACGGTACCGTCTTCTGGCGCAACGGAGTGTCGTTCTCGGACTTGTTCATGAGCGCCGATGACTACTGGACAGACGATGCCAAGACTTTCTGCACTGCGGACGGTGAATGCTTCGACGAAGATGAGCAGCTGAACTTACTAGAGGAAGCGTGTGGGTCATGGTACATTGCACTGATCGTGTGCCAGTTTTTCCACATCTGGGTGGCCAAGACTCGACGCACGTCCGTGGTGAAGGCCCATCCGTTCAAGAACACCATCACGATTTATGGTGCTGCCATCGAAATCTTGATCGTTGTTCTCGTCGTGTACGTTCCTGGCTTCCAGTCGTTCTTCGGCACTGCCGCTGCTAACTACGTACCGTGGTTGATTGGATGCGGAACGGGAATATTGACGTGCTTGTACAGCGAGACCATTAAGGCGCTCGCACGTCGTGAAGTTCCAGGACAGGAGCGGTGTCTTATGCGTTGGCTAGCCTGGTAATTGTGAAACGGTAGCACTACAAGGTTTCGGTAGGGTGTGAGTATGTCATATTGGTATGAATGTATGTATGAACTGAACGCTTCAATTATTTCACACAAGTTGTTGTTGTTCGGAGGGAGCAGGGAATGATTCTCTAAAAGCCTGTCTGCAATGCATTGCGTCGTCGTTGAGGGTAAAATACTCACTTTCATGACTGAGTTCGGTCAGGAAACCGAGATTCACAAGGTTAAAATGTATATTGGGTTGATCATCACAGTGCACGGTAAGCATTAATAGTACCTTATCGAAGAAAACTTCTGTTGCATGATTGGCCAACATACCTAGGTAGGTATATGAAGGTGGGGGTTGTATTTTAATACAACCTCCTTGTTATAATAAATGCCTCCGAACATAACGTTATAACACCTGAATTTTCTGTGAAACTGCTATTTTGTGTTAAGACCTGGTAGCAAAAAAACAAATTATTATTGGTCAAAAATAGGGAAGATATCGCGTGAGGACGTTTACGTTTCTCTCTCATTCATTTTATTTTACACTTTATTTACAGATGTTCTGTGATAGTCTCGAGCCCTAACACTATTAACAAACGTTTTATTGTTTAAATGTTCACTAATTTACGATCTTGCAGTGTGCAGTCTCAAGTGTGTCCTCAGTTCTTAGTATTGTTTAGCACCACTCCACCAAGGATATATATTTACTTGTTTTTGTTTCCATCTTAGTATTGTTGTTTCATGCCGCCTACTTCTGATGCAGAACTACTCTCAAATAGCTATGGTAACATCAGCTTACGCACTCGGGTTCAGCAAAAGTGACATCGTGTCCAACTACCGATATTGTCAATTCTATTTATCTCAATTATCCTGCTTCAGGTTAAATGCCCACGTTTACTGTGCATTCACATGCAATAAAGTAATCCCGTCATAATTATCTAACACTCGTCGGTCCATCTCTAGCAGACGACCTATTTCATATTTCGAGAGCCAAGTAGTCACTCCTAAGTCTAATCGACCAATTACTGTGAGAAAAGATGGGTTATATAGTGTGTATTTTATCCTTTTATTAAACAAATAGCTGAACTAATAGTGAGAAGGGGTTCCTTTACTATCTTGTGCCTTGGGATTTGCTTAGTCAAATGGAAGATGCATTTTCCACAGGCTAGATAATAAGTGGCATTGTGTGTGTAAATGCATAGCTCTGTATTGTAAAGGTTATCTTTCAGACCGTAGAAGTTGTGTACTGAAGTATGTGTTTGCTCTCCAGTCTCAACTGATAAAGACCTCCGCAGTATCTGACAACTCACTTGGTGCATGCCAGGAGTTACGAATACAAACGACATCCATGATGATAATCACAAAGTCACAACATGCCAACCCAGAACGATCCTTCCGGCCGCTCAGGGGTGTTCTTTCGGGAAAGTCTACTTTCCCAGGCCACTGTTCACCCTGGACGATAAAGGCGCTCACCCACCTCGCCTCAGGAATGCTGGACGCAGAGTTAGCGGGTTGCCTATCCCACACCTCGAATTTGCGATTTTGTCTCCTCCTTTTTT